ATAGTGATGTCGTGAGTACATTTATAGTGATGTCGTGAGTACATTTATAGTGATGTCATGAGTACATTTATAGTGATGTCATGAGTACATTTATAGTGATGTCATGAGTACATTTATAGTGATGTCATGAGTACATTTATAGTGATGTCATGAGTACATTTTAATATTGTGATGTCATGAGTACATGTGATGTCATGAGTGCATTTATAGTGATGTCATGAGTACATTTATAGTGATGTCATATTATAAACTAACAATACTGCTTGTTTGATGTAGGTGAACCAAGCTGTTGATGGCATGTCAGAGGAAAGAACTAAATTAGAAGAAGATCTAGCACAGGCTAAGCTGGATGTCACCAGTCTTACCCAGGACAAAGCTCAACTTGAACAAGAAAATGAAAGGTTGATGGAGCGGATAGGGGCTGTTGAACATCACCAGGTGTGGATATGCACAGTAGTTTATTCTTCAGAAAAAAACAAAAACAGAAATCTCATGCTCAATGTTTGGGTTACTCCAACAGATATAATTTTCATGCTATTTAATTTTATAAGGTTGATTCAGTTAATTTTCTTAAACTGTAACTGTCTTATCATTTGGTTGTTGATCGTCATGTGAGACAGATCAAACTTGGGCGGTAAAGTCTTTTTCTGGCCAATCAGATGCATTGAGTGAGCGTTTAGTATTATCTTTAAATTCTGCCTGTTATACATTCAGCCACAGCTGATCAACTCCAGTAGAAAGTCTCAGTCGTGTAATCACAAAATTACTCAACCATTCAAAGAACTTTTTACTTCTAGAAAATATATAATATGTATTGTCCATGATGCACACACATAAACATATGATGTGCAAGAAACATAAAGTTTTGATATTTTATCAATAATAATATTATTATACATCTTTTTGAACAGTTGTTTGTAAGGCAACCGATTCTGGAGTTTGTTGCCTTGCACTGTCAGTTGAGTATTTGAAATAGCAATCAGCGTGTACCTGGAAAATTGGGCAGGCTCACTTTCGTATGCTTCAAATTTATATATGCCTGAAACACCGTCTTACGCACAGCAGTTACAGTTTTGAGCACCTTGAAAAAAGTATTGAATGCTCTTCATCAAACATTGACCAGTCGTTGTTTTGATTTGTTTCCTCACCTTGGGATATTTTTATTTTTAGCAAGCCCAGAAACAGCTTGACAGTGCTATGCATGAGATGTTAGAGAGTAAAAACAGATTAGCATATGACAAGGGAAGACTACAAACAAGGGTAGATCATTTACAAGAAAGAACTTAGTTCACTGGCTAACACCAAAACTGAAGTT